ATCTAGGCTGGCTTCGGTAACTATCCAACTGTCCTCCACCATTCGAGGCGTCTATGCTCCCTAATCGATACGCATAATCGTTCTTCGAATCTAGAATTCCACGTTCGGACCGTAGAAACGATTTCGCTTCCTTCGAATTGTGCGCACGTAAATCGTGTCGGCCGGGTCCGAGCACGGGACAGAATTTGTAATTTTTCGAGCCGCGTGTTTGTGAATAGCCGGCGCATAAGCAAGCGGACCAGGAACGGCGCGCAGAGCGTGTACGGTTGAAATTACAGGTCCGCGGGACGAGCCGACAATTGGTCTTTGAAAGACCGCGCGACAAACCATCGGAATAATAGCTAAACCAGTGATCATGAGGATGAAAGAGGAGACAGAAACGGAGCGGGGCGGGGCGGGGTGGGGCGGGGGGTCCGGAGAGTACGGCCTTTCTCGCCAATTAAATCTAATTACTCCAATTCCGGTAAGGGTAACGTCCATCTAATTATCGTTTGACCGAAGCACGTATTAATAGTAGAGTCGTGCACCAGCTTGTATGCCGTCATCCTCGCCACCAGCCACCGGTTCCTACACATAGTTACTCGCAGCCCCGTACAACCATAACCGAGTGCTCGTGCACGCGGTCAGCCGCATAAATACGTGCACAGGGTGTACCACAAAATGCTCTGCCGTGCGCACCATTCTTTGCGCAAAACCCCTAAACAACGGAACACATATTCCGGCGGGCGCGTCGGCGAATTCAAGGACGCCGTCGGACGTCGTTGCCGTCCGACGTTGAACATTAACAAAAGGGTGGACGCGCAACGTGGCCACAACCGGGCTACGACTGCCCTGCCTTCTCGCAATTTATTGTTCAACCGTACGCTCGTGCACGAAAGTGTTCGAACACTGGTACAGTAATGTCTCCCTTACCGGCGCTCAGATTGTCCACTGAAATGGACAATTTGGAAAGAGGAGATACGATAGATTGCGGCTCATTTGTACGATTGTGGACAATTTATAACTATAAAAGTAAACCGCAAGGCTCGAATAATCGTATCTCCGCTCCCCAAATTGTCCATTTTTGTGGCCAATCTGGGCGTCAATTAGAGAGACATTACTGTACAAGCTTCGACGTCCAGGCTATAACAATATATTTAAATAAATGTGCATCGTGGATCAGAAAGTGCAAAGACGGGAGTTTTCTTACATTTTATTGTAACTCCTAGTGATAGCAAAATTAAAAGAAAAAAGGCATTCTAGTCATTGTTACAGTGACTCAGTCCATCTAACAATTACAGAAAGAATTCGAGTCGTTTGACCAGTTTGAAAAAAATATTATATCAATTTGAAAAGTGTGTGGAAACTTTTCTTCTGAAATATTCTGTAAAATTCCGAAATATCAACGATACAGATAAATCATTTGAGACCCCTAGGATCTCAAGACGCCAATGGCGCCGCATTGTCGTCGCGTTTGCGCGTAAACCGCAAAAGCTGGATGCGGATGAAAGCGTTCTACTAGGCCCTCGAGACAAATCGTCGGTCTTCCGCGAAGTCTCGAGCCGGTTGGAATCGCTGGTTCCGTGGTCGAATTTTCTGGATCACCGTGTATCTCGATCCCGCGGCGCGCAACCGAAAAAGAAAGCAGTCATTGCGTTTCACCATGTCGGAGGACGGACGAAGCCACGGGGTCAACGAAGGTTAAACCGTTCTTGTAACGAGCCGGCCGGGAGGCGGCCGTACCGACGACCCACGGCTCTGTAATTCCTCGCTCACGCGGTAATCGCGATCCATGGATCCGTGGAACGGCTCTCTCTCTCTCTCTCTCTCTCTCTCTCTCTCTCTCTCTCTCTCTCTCTCTCTCTATAGGTGACGAATCGCACGAATTCCGCATCCCGCGCTTGCGGCCGCGGCCTCCGCCGAAAGAGAGAAAGAGCAGCCTGGACCGCCAGATACGAGCGTTGAACTTCGAACCGTGTTTCCCTCGCACGTGGCCGAACTCTGAACTCTCGCAATTGAATCGTCGCTGTGCCGCATAGCTCTGCGATGACGGATCGTGACGCGCCGTCAATTTATCGTTTCTGGAAAATGATTTACCGGTTATCGTTCTTTTTCCGCGATACAACCGCTTCCCCGTTTCGGTGTAAGAGCATTCCTCGGGGAGTCGACGCGATGGCACATCGTTTAGGCGAACTTTCGCTGTTGTATAAATACGTTTTACATGCTCCATTGTGAATGATCAGCGAGCAGAATGCGAGCAACCAAGGTTCGGAATTATTCGTCTTTCGAAGCTATCCGAATTTAGGCGACTCTACGGGGCTCGCGAAATTTTTAAGGGAATTCTTGCCTAGGTCACGTTGTAGAGGACAGTTTTCTCTTTCCAACGAGTCCTGGATCGTCGAGATACGATTTTTCTGCGCAGTTTTATCTTACTTTGAATGGGACCCTCCAATATCCGAATGAATTCGAAGTTGATGCTCGGTCTTCCGGAACTGTCCAAATTCAAACACCTGTATTAAGTTCAAAAAATTTTTTCGCGGATTCTCATTAAGCGTATCTTCGAGAGCAAAGTCTCCTCTTTCAAACGACACGTAAAACATGGGCATAAGATTTTTCTACACCGTTTGATCGCCCTTTGGAAAAGTGTCTCGAATGTCCGAATCAGAAACAAAGGTCTTTCGAGATGATCCAAGTTCAGACACCGCTACCGACTGCAACAAATTTTTGGCGGAATTTCTACGAAGTCCTCGTTGTAGAGCGAAGTCTCCCCTTTCAAACGAGCTCTAGAACGTCGAGCTGCGATTTTTTTCCACCGTTTTATCGCACTTTGAACGAACCCTCTGCTATCCGAACCCGCGTTCCTCGGTCTCTCGGAACAACCCAACTTCAAACTTCTCTGCGAACCTCAAAACATTTTTCTCGTTATTCCAGTCAAGACAGCGTTGTAGAGGGAAGTTTTCCCTTTCCAACGACGTACGGATCGTCGACGTACGATTTTTTCGCACCGATTTGTCGCAGTTTTAATGGACTCTCTGCTATCCGGACGCGCGAGAAGCTTTTCTACGTATACATATCGGCGATAGAAAATTTCCGTCGACTCTATTGTCCCGAAAACAGCCTAAAATTCGCCGAGAAACTTTGCCATTGTTCCCGATCGATCCCGAAGAGCGTCGCGATTCGCGCGATACCGCGGCCGTCGCGCCGCGCCGCGTCCCGAATAACCGTCGCATTGTTTATTAAAAATAACTGTAGTTAAGAGAAAGTTGGCTCGCGAGGCGGGCTATAGTTCTAATTACGTCGGCGACCTAACCTCGGCGTAGTTTGTCCACGGCAGCCGTATTCGCACACAAGTTTTACCGAGCGCGCCTCGTCGTGTCGCGTCGCGTCGCGGCGGTCTACGACGCCAAAGGCAGCTTTGCATACGTATATGGAGCAAGTTTGAGGAACTCGAAGATTGAAAAACTAAGTCTTCTTACGTAACTGGACTCGCAACTTCCGCAGCCGCAATAACATTTCGCAGGATTTCCAGGTGATAAGGGAAATGAGGTCTGGAAGCAACTGCCGGCGTTCGCCCGTTAAATTTCCATTAAGTCATTGAAGCGAAACCCGTGAAATATAACGAGAAACTTTCTCACGCAGGTGCGTAAATTACGACGATTTTCGGCCCCGACGTTAATCGCCGTGGCCCGAATCAAATGAACGTCGTCGCCGCTCCGATTTACCGTCGTCACGGTCCCGATTCGCCTACTGCAGACCTTCTCCGCCGTCTTTCTGCGTCTCGAAATAATAGCTGAACAATCAGAACCGCTTCGGAACTTTCTACGTTTCTACATTTCTAATCTTTGTCTTCTGCGCTGCATTTATTTCATTATTTATTCATTTACTTAGTCGCGTGCGCGGGTTGAAAAACCTTTCTTACAGAAGGAGCAATAAAAAGATAGAAACTGGAATATATAAATATATAATAAATATATAAATTATACATATATACAGGGTATCCCAAAAATGTCTCGCAATTCGGAAATGGCGGGTTCCTGAGATCATTTGAAGCAACTTCTTCCTTTACGTAAATGTTCTCCGAGGCACCGTTAACGAGTTATCAACGAAAAACAGTGACCAATAAGAATCGAGTACGGCTGACGCGAGGCCCCGCCCAGCCAACTAGCGCACGAAACCCAGTTCCGCTCATTGGCTCGGTCGCCTCGCGCCAGCCGAGCTCGTCTCTCATTGGTCACTGTTTTTCGTTGATAACTCGTTAACGGTGCCTCGGAGAAAATTTTTGTGAAGAAAAAAGGTGCTTCAAATGACCCGAGGAACCCGCCACTTTCGGATTGGGAGATTTTTTGGGACATCCTGTATATATATATAAATAAAAAAGAATGTTTATTTTTTTATTTAATACTTGCTTTACTTTATTAATCCGTTCTATTACAATTGAAACAATATCCACATCTACATATTAAAAAGATAAAACAGAGCCACTTTAGTTTCATTTTGCGATAACCCGTCAAAATAACCCAGAGCTTGCGCGCGCGCGTCTCTTTGAAGACAATCGGAAGGCAAGGGGTTGGAACGCAACCGCGTCGCTCGCATAATTTCTATTCTCGCGCTCTAAGAATTGATATCCGCGCGCGTACGCTCCGGCCCTCCGTCAGAGTTCGCCGCGACGAACAAACACGCGGATCCATGTCCGTATCCGTTATCATCGTGTTGTTCGTGCTGTTTCTTTTTTCTCTCCGGGTTCCGTTGAACCGGCTCCGTTCTCTCGCTCCGTCTTCTGACCCGTCGTCCGTCCCGTCGCGTCGCGCTGCACCCCGTCTCTTTTTGTCCTCATCCCTTTTGGTTACCTACCATTACTACTACCTAGCTATCATCTCAGCTGTTCCGTAAACGCACTGTTTGCATCTCGTTACCGGGATATTTGTTTATGATTTGATACCGTGTTCCTAGGTCATGGCAAATAGTATAGGAGGTTCGGAACACGGGGCCGCCAGGCGCTACTTGATGCGGCGGCAGTCAGGGGTAGGTTCAACGTTTCGCAAACCACGTTCCTCCGATTTTTCCCTTTCGAGGGGACACTGCAGCGTGCATCGAAATTGTGGCCAATGGAACGCGCGGCTCGAGAAGAAACCACCGATTTTACGAAGAAAGCGTTATAGCATGAACGATCGGTAAGAAGCAGAAATTAAATGAAATTGTGGTTCCTTGTTCGATACTTCGAATGAAAGCGAAGGGACTCTAATTCGCGCTCTGATTGTGCACAAAAATGGTCAATTTGGGAGAAGGACTATAACGACTTTCTCAACGACTATAAAAATAAGCCGCAAGGCAGACCTCCTTTTCCCAAATTGTCCACTTCTGTTCCCAAGCTGAGCGTCAATTAGGGAGAATTTATTGTACTCTGAAATATTCCCGATGCTTTCGCACTTGTGCACGTGTGCTTTATCTAATTATTTTGATTAGAAATATTAATATTATTGGCACTCGGAGCTGCCGATGCTTTAAAACTCGATTCATTTGCTAAGTAAAAACGACGTTCTCTAATTCAACGGATATAATTATCGTTACGCCGACGAATCGCTTTAAATCGCAGAAATTTTAATCGCGTAAATAAATGTTGGACAGAGTTCTCCTTCGCCCCAAGGCTCGCTACGCCTCCGATCACCCCCAATTGTTCCGTGTAACTAAAAATTGAAATGTTTCGATCGCGCGGATCCCTTGTTCAACTTATTCTCGGAAGGAGTTCCCCGAATAACTGTTATTTTATGCAACACGGGTTATAACGGTGGGATGCGGTGAACGGGTAGCGCATTTCGTTGGCGAAAATTGCCGCGGCGCGGCGTTCCTAATTCGCGGGGCTGCGTCGAAGGATCGATGGCCGACAGCTCAGACATTCGTAACGATCAGAACCGTCGGGGTATAGAAAACGTTAGGATCGGGTCTGGGCGCGGAAGCACGTTCTCTGTTTTGCCGGGAAATCGGTCGGATCGTAGCCTGAAGTAGGCTAGGAAGCAATCTCGCGAGACGACAGGATCGCATGAGTCGTTAACGAAATTCGTTAACGACATTCGTGCGTTCGAGCGAAATGAGGTTGGGTAGTTTAATCGAACGATCTCTCCTCGCCTGCTTTTCCTGTTCTGCTCCCTTTTTCCTACGCCAAGATGAAAATCGAATGAATCAGCCGATGTTATCCGCTTTCGTTTCGTTCCCGCGATCGGTCGCCCCGCCCCGCCCCGCCGCGCCCCGGGTTTTCATTACTTGACAGATTAATGTTTCCCGCTGTCAAACAATTTCGAACGGAGTACAATAATCGCGTTCCACGGCCGGGGGAACTTTGTCGTTAACACGGCCGCGGAACACGTCTTTTGTTTGCTTTCGATCGGACCGGACCGATCCAAAGAATTATTTCGAAATCCGACGCCGCCGACAAGCGCCGCGCATTCCCGTGTCTCGAAACGAACGCGCCGAAACGTTCTAGAACTCGATGCGACGTTTCACCGAGCGTTTAACATTGTTCCGGACGCGACGACGTGTGTGCTCGGTCGCAATTTTTTGGGCGGGGGCGAACGAAAGCTGCTCGGCGCGAGTCGCGCGAATTTACGAGTTTCATCCCTTAACGGCGCGTCGACGTAAGACTGCCGCGCAACAGCAAAGTGTCGTTGTAATGTTAAAAAGATTCGTTCGAGGCAAACATTTCGAAATCAATTCGCGACGAATCGTTTTCTTGCAATTCGCGTTATCCCTAAACGATGGGCGAACATATTCAAAATTTAGCAGAGAATTTATCAGACTTCGTCGATGTCTGAATTTACGGCTGATCTTGCCACTGAACGTACAAGTTTCGCGCGCGTTGATCGCCGAGAACGAAGAAACGCGGTGCGAGTGCGACGATTCTCGACTGCACCGAAACACGCGCGAACAGATTCTTCGCGCGCAGCGTCCTGTTTATTCGCGAAAATCAATAAAGATATAACCCGGCTCGCCGTCCAAATAATTGTTCCATTTACGAGAACGTTTATATCTCGCAGATCCGTTCGGATAATCAAGGTCCTGCCTTCGCGAGTACAATAATTACGTGCACGCGTAATTACAAGCTTTCGCTTCCGACGGCTGCAACGAATAAATTCTGTCGGGGATTAAAAGATTCGACTACAAAAAAAAAAGAAAAAAACGGAAGAGAAAATTTTCTAGAATCGTGAGCGGCGGTGCTTTGTCGCCGGCTTGTCGCGGAATAAGATTGTTTATCCGGCAGAGATTGAGTCGACGCCGGCGCTGCAAAGAGCGAGACCACCCCCCGCAGACTGTTGGGGAGGGCGGGCGCTAGTTGCTAGAAATCCGAAATTACTTGTGACCGGATCCAATATAACTTTGCCCGTGACTGCCATTAGAAGCTCATTATTAATCGATAATGCGGATCGATGCGGCCTCTCGTTACGGGACCGCGCCGCGGAGTGCTAATTCGGAAAATAGCTTTTTGCGACTGTGCTCGGTCGACTTTGCGACGCTTTGAATCACCGCCGCGCCGTGTACACCAGCAGAGTTACAAGTATAGTGAATTACGCCGAAATTCTCTCCGCAAAAGCTCGACCTTGCAGAACGGTTCCTCGAATATCCTCGAATATCCGGAGAATGCGGTTTACGCCGCGGCACCTCTTTCGACGAGATTCATTTTCGAAAATTAGATAACGCGAGCTACCAGGCTGCATTCCATCGAGTCGTTGCTAATGTTGGCTCGTATTGTGCAGCAATACGCGAAGATAAGGTTGCAGATTTCCCGGCTTGCCCTATTGGCGTTCGGCGCATCGGCAAGCGACGCCTCGTCGCTGTCCGCCGAGCGTTCAGAAGCAACAGCAGGCTGGTCGTGCTATAATTTTCGGGCCGATTACTTGTTACGTACTACTACTAAATTAGGAGGAAAGAGCAACAGAGTCCGTCGAGTACGGATAAAATTCGGCGCTAAAAATCGGGCCGAAAAATCCGACCGCGGCGACCGAGGTTGCCGCGGAACAAGCCCGGCGACCTCGAGAGGCTATAATTACTGGGAACGAAACGTTTAGGTCGATCAAAGATCGGCGACAAGTCGAGAACAGAGGCGCGCCCGTGCAGGAGAGTTAAGCCGTCGTAAGCCGTCGTCGATATTCCGAGGCAGTGACTTATATCGATCGCGGCTGACGGATTCGACGGAGCGGCCGACCAGTGAATAGGCAAAGTCATGGAGATGTGTCGACAAATCTGGAGATAAATGGAGAGAAAGCTGTCGGAAGAAGGTAACGACGGGCGAACGAAGAAGAGGAAACGTCTCTGCAAGAAAAATAGAAGCGTTCGCCGACGGAGCGACGTCGACGACGTCGCCCGGAAACCGACGAATTCCCTTGAGCTCGAGGAACAACGGCAGCTCGCCTCCTTTGTATATTCGAAGGATTTCCACTAATGAAATAATTAAAATTACAAAGCCCTATGTGGGACAGAGGGGGCGGGGAGAGGAAAGGCACGGACGATTCCGGCTGTAGTCTCACGACGACGCGACGCCTTCGTCGCCTTTTCTGCAGGCGCGGCGCTCTTTTTACGCCCGCAAATCCCTGGACGACTCCGGGAGAGAGAAGCGATCGCGAGCACCGATAGGCGATCTACAAAAAGTATCTGCTCGATCCGTAAACCCTCGATCGAAGTTCTCCATAATTGACGCTTGGATTGTGAACGAAAATGGACAATTTGGGGAGAGGAGACGCGAGTGTTGGAGGCTTGCGATCGTTTTTGTGGTTACCGATTGTCAACAACTATACAAGAAGGCTCGAATAATCGTATCTCCTGTTCCCAAATTGTCCATTTTTGTGTACAATCTCAGCGTCAATTACGGAGAATTTACTGCATACCGATTCTAGTTCCAAGATTGCATAAATGTTTCTACTTTGTCCGATATGAATTGTTACAGCTTCCCGCGTGCCGTGTCTTCGAAAAATTTTTTCCACAGAAATGAATTATACGCGGAAAAAGTAGAGATTTCAGGCTTTAAAATGAGCTTAGTTTCGTTGTTCCACGATTTTTATTTACGAAGTTACAGTACTTTGAATATCGTCGAAGTTTCGGGGGTTGAAAATTTCGCGTAAAGTCTGGATCGAGGTTTTTCATCCGCCGTGTCGCGAATAAATTTTTTTGAAGAAATCGACAGACGGCCTCCGAAAATAGATACTTCAAGCTTTAAAACGAGCCGAGTTCCATCGTTGTACGATTTTTTTTCACAAAGTTATAGCTGTTCGAATATCAAGAATTTTGTCGCCCGAATCGTGTCTCAGTATTCTCGTATCTGCCGATTTCAATTCCGAGCTCCGAACACTTCTCGGAAAAATGCCAATACATTATTTAACGATGAGAGACACGAAATTTACGTTGCTTTTATAACGTATAATAAAAACAAGCCGCGAGGCTCAAATAATCGCTCAAATAATTCCTAAATTGTCCATTTCTGTGCGCCATGTAAGCGCGAATTACGGAGAATTTACTGCAACCGCAAGCAACGCGGTTAGAAAGAAACATCGAGATCGACCGGCAAATAGCAACAACGCGTCTCTTCGAACGCGAGAGTTGCAAAAGGGTAGCAAACTCGCTTATTAATTGATTCCCGCGGTTTCGGATCCAAACGCGGCCGCTCGCGCGACGCTTCGCGTTTGCAACTTCGCGAGGAACGATCGACTCGCGCAACCGTACTGAAACTTAACCGCGTATCCGGTTCGCTGCCGTTTCTATATACTCGTCAAATAGCAACGATGTATCTCCTCGGCTACGAAAGTTACAAGAGGTAGCAAGTTGCTTATCAACCGCGACGGGTTAACCGTGCCGTCTCGGAGCACGCCGCCGCCGTCGTGCGCTCTTAAAAACACCGGCGACGATCCAAAACGGTTCGGATTCGCGGAGAGAGAACGGTGTCGTTCCGGAGGCGTCGGACGGCGGGTTTCTGCGGCCGGTAGTTTGCGGTGGCGGATTATAGAAGTGACGGGCAGCTGACCGTCAACGAGCCCGAATTTATTAGACTGTGTGCCGGAGTCGGCGAGAGGATGCGGGAGGATATACCAGAACGATGATTATCGCGGCGATCGCAGCAGATGCGCGGCTGTCGCGACATTAGCTCGTAATAAACCACGGCGTAGATAATCGAATACACGACACGTAACAA